ACATGACCACACATAGCTGCAAGAAAAGATGCAAATGTCTTCCTTTAGCCAGCTGGTGATCAGACAGCCAAATACTGGAGACTTGTTCCTTAGAACAAGAAGACAATGAGTTTCGGGGGGTACAGCTTGAAGTTTCTGCCACAAAGAGAAACTGACATTAATCAAATCTTTTCATCTTATGACTAAGAAGTTCACAGAAAAAAAGAAAAAATTATCAAAATGGTTAAAGTCAGATTATACTGACAATATTCATTTCTTTAGTGATACATTGACACAGCAAATATTTTTCAAATAATTGGAATACCATTTAACTTAAAGAGATCTTATGAGGGATTGAAAAATGCCTTAGTCACGGAGAGTAATCAAGAGATTACTATGTACATGTTAGACTAAGAAATTATAAAGTGGGGTCCCATAAAGAAAATACAAACAAAATGCTTTAGCATTCAGATTGAGGACATTCTTGTGGCTGGATGGAAGAGCTGATTTTTGAATTTGATGTTAAACTACCTTTAGGGTTTGGATGTGTGAAGATGCTAATAGCATCATGGAATTGTGGAAAAGCACAAATACATAAAATAAGTGCATTTTGTTTTTATTTTATTCTTTGTTGGTAGAAAGGTCTGGGATCATTTAATCTCTCCCAACTTCTGTAGGCTTGCGCAAAGCAACCATTTGTACAAGGCTTCCTCAAAGAGGCATTTAAAGTCTTCATAAGTAAAAGTAATAGGAAAACCACAAAATATGAGAGATTTTCCTCTTTTTAAAAACGCTCAGAAAATGGTTATTGAATGATGAGACAGCATCCTAACACAGGGAGAGATGATCAAGGGAGAGAGACATAGGCAAAAAAGAAAAACCAATTAATTGGGCTCGACTGAACAATACAGTATATGAAAGACAGTCCTCAGAAATAAGGTTTATTTGGAATCTTCAGTATCATGCTGAAGAGTTTAAATGTCATTCTGTGGCCAGATGTCACTGGAAAGTTTTTGAGCCTATGGCTTGTGAAGATTGATTCTGCAGTACTCTTCAAGGTAGATACAGGGAGATTATTTCTAGCTAAGCAGCTCTTGGAAGTGAGGAGGTGTTAAAGCCTGACGTAGATGAAAGCGTGTGGAAATGGATGCAGGGAAGATGGAAAGAATTGATGTTGGAGTAGACTCACCAGAACTCACAAGAGACATCTCGAGTGGAGGTGAGAAGCCGGATAAAGGTGTCAGCAAAAGAAACTGGTCACATAGGAAAAAACAGGTTTGAGAAAGAAGACTGTTTACTTTTCTGGCAGGAGTGATGTTTAAGTAGGAATGTCTGTCTAGCAAGTAGTTGCAGAATTAGGCCTGGAATTGGGATCAGAACCGGACATTTTCAGAACATTCCCCATTAATAAAATTGTGGTGAAAGCTGGGTGGAAGAAACGTGACTCGGAACAGAGCGTTAGGGAATTGTTTAGGGGTGGGAAGTTATAGAAAGAAGTCAGTGAAGGAGACAAGCAAAATCAGAGAGAACAGCTATAGCTATTAATATTGACTTACGTGACTTATTCACAATCAATTTAGAATATTGGGGATTAGCAGGAAATAATATTTTGCTGGTTTAGGTTTTGTATTTGACATGAAGGAACTATATTTGATCAATGTCTTTCTAGAAGGAAACCAGTAATCAAAATTTGCTTACCTGCATGAGGTACTAATTATTCTTATTTTCAGTAATTGAACTCCATCCGGTTTAATTTTCCCTGTATTATGCTGTAGGCAGTGATTAATACCGAACTGCCTTTTATGAATCAAAGTAAATAGAAATACTCCTCCTATTTTAGAAATTTCACCACGGGTGTTACAGTCTGCATCTGAAGGAAAAAGGGATGAATAAGCTCTCATTTGTGCTTGTACCACACGAGCAAATTGTTCTTTGATTTGGTGTTAAAGCTGTCTGCCTGACCTACACCATTGGTGACATGGTATTTCGACCTGACAACTAGACTGCGAGAAAAGAGGTGCCCCCCTGAGGACCTTGCCATCCTCCTGTCTCCATAACAATGAACACTTACTTCTGGCTCCAGGACTAGAATGAGAATGAGGATTGTAGTGTTTGGAGATTTACCCATCACTCAAATTAGCATGAGAAAACCATTAAAAGAATTGCAAATAAAATGAGATTGTATTAAGCATTTGGAATGCTTTTAGTTGTGGTCATAAATCTGGAAACCATATCAAAATCAATTCAGAAATCACTGCTCAAAAATCATGCTAAAACGAGGAGATTTCTAAAAGGATAAGAAGAGAAGAAATGGTCTCAAAATAGTGTGTTTTGTAAATTGGGATTTATGTCAAAGCAATAAAGGTAACAATTAGTTAAATATTTTTAAATATTTTTAAATTATCTTTAATGTTTTTAAAGATAATTTAGTTGAAGTGTGACTTTATAGTAAATACAGCTACAGAAGTGTATTCTGCAAACACAAGTTTGAATATGAACATACTTGAGTGCCTTCTTTGGTGCAGGGCTGGGAAAGAAAGCTGCCCTGGGTTAGATCATGTCCCTCTGTGGATAGGCATGTATCCACTATTCTGTGCCCATAATGAGAGCTATTTTACATGCTAAGGGTATAAAAAAATTATAACTTCAGGTCATTTGAACATAGATCTGAAAAAAATATATTAGCATATAATGTCTCTTCTGTGTATTTTCAAAAGTGGGTCCTGATTTTTATGGTGTCTTCTGTCAATGGCATGATGAAAGGACCTCTGTAAAAGCTAGAATTATTTCCCAGGGAAGAAAAGATTGTAGAAAGGGTAATATGAATGGCCTAAATAAAACAGTTGTTGATTTGAGTAAATAACATTTGAAAGGGTATTTTTTAATTATCTTTAATTCGCTATAACCCTCTTTATGGAATATATAAAATGATGAATCAGCTGCTTACTAAAGTGGGAAGTATCAAAGACTGGAATCGGAAGATGCAGATTTTAACCCCAATTCTTTGGTTTAGGGCAAGTCATTTAACTTTTCTGGGTTTTACCCATTCATTTGCTCTTTTACATTTGTTCATAAATTTATTCCACTGACATTCAACGAGCTCGCACCTTGGGCTTCCCTCCCCCATTTCCTCTTCACTGAGTGTCACTGAGTCACTGAGAGCATTTGTGGCTCTTCCGTGTACCACAGAAGAGCAAGGACTGCTTAACAAGGGGCTTCATGGAAAAGAGAATCATGAGCAACTTTTGTAGGACTATAAGAATACGGTCTGGATTATGGAAAAATTGTCGGGCTGGACTAGGAAAATGGCAGGTGCAAAATCATGGAGCCAGCCTAAGCCTTCACCAACAAAAGCCAGAGGTCTAGGACACCTGAAACTGAATCTGGAGACAGAGCAATGATGAGAGTTGAAAAAGATCTAAAGGGGTGAAACTGACTCCTAAGAGAACTCTGGCAGAGCAATAAACCATGGCAGAGGAGAGCACAGGCACATGGGGGTCCCTGAACAACCACAATTTCAATTTCAGTTTTAGATGGATCAAACTAGATTAGTAAAAATAGCTAGAGAGAAAATGATTCTACTAGGATAAGAGAAAAACAAAAACTATGGCTAGTTAACTTAATTGGTCTTCCCCCTGACAGTAGTCACAGTAACATTTGCAGACAGGTAAAATTTCTAAACATCTGAGACTATGTGGGGTTCTCTTTTATAATGAAAGAGTAAGAAAACATTGTTAATTTGATTTTACAGTTCCAATATATGAGTTTAGCTGAATTTTCTTTTTTTTTCCTCTCTCTCTCTCTTTTTTTTTTTTAATGTACCTTCTACCAGTCTGAATTCTCCAATCCCTCTCAGAGTGGAAAAACTGAGCTTCTTCTATAAGCATTGCAAAATATTCCCCATTACTTTAAGTTTGAAAATGCCAAAGAAATGTTAAGTGAAATCTACCATTTTCCTTTTATGTGGCACATTTGACCTCTAGAAACATTAAGAGCGTCATCCTCCAATGCTTTCAATTCTAATCTTTACAGAGACAAAATTCATTGCTTGAATTATAAGAGTGAGTCTCATTAAAGCTAAAAAAAAACAGTGACCCAGATAGCATAATGGTTTGATATGGTGACCTTGCAACTTTAGAGCTTTACTTTCAAATCTGACAGTGTAGTCAAGTCATTTCAATAGTCAATTAATCAAATGGTAAATGCCAGCCTATCAGTGTTTTGAGTTTGGTAGTTAGGAGACCAACTGGCTAGTACTACTTTATAGAGATTTAAACTGAAAACAAGAGTATACTCATTAACTCCCAAAACCTTTCTTAAATGATCAGAATAAAATCCAAAGGGTTTAATGAATTGCTATGAATACTGTAATCACTAATAATTACATAATTTTGACAGACACTGTAATGAACATCAGCATTTTGAAACTTACATTATATAAATATGTTATGATTATGAATTATATATTAATGATATAGGTCTACATTTTATTAGTACATAAAGACTGTAAATATAATTAATCAGATCTTGAGTAATGAAATGTGATGTTAAGTGAATTCTCAACTTTTATTCTTTTGGTATTCTTAGGGTGACATATACTTTCAGAGAAAATAAATGTGTGTGTGTCTCAGCAGGACATCCTATGGTCTAAAGAATTAAAAAAATTTTTTTTTTTTTTTTGGCAAGAAACATGTTTGTATTGGCTTGGCACCCGTAGCTCAATAGTTAGGGCACCAGCCACATACACCAAGGCTGGCGGGTTCAAACCCAGCCCCAGCCTGCTAAATAACAGTGACAACTACAACTAAATTAAAAGTAGCTGGGTGTTATGGCGGGTGCCTGTAGTCCCATCTACTTGTGAGGCTGAGGCAAAAGAATCACTTAAGTCCAAGAGTTGGAGGTTGCTATGAGCTGTGACACCACAGCACTCTACCAAGGACAACATAGTGAGACTCTGTCTCAAAAAAGAAAAGAAACATTTGTGAAAAATTCTTTCTCATTCATTCATCTGTTCATTGCAGATGCCAGATATACGGAATCCAGAAGGAGCTCAGTACAGCTCCCACCCTCATATGGCAGCCATGAGGCCCAGGGGTCAGCCTGCAGACATCAGGCCACAGCCAGGAATGATGCCACATGGCCAGCTGACCACCATCAACCAGTCACAGCTAAGTGCTCAGCTTGGTTTGAACATGGGAGGAAGCAACGTTCCCCACAACTCGCCATCTCCACCTGGAAGCAAGTCTGCAACTCCCTCACCATCCAGTTCAGTGCATGAAGATGAAGGCGATGAGACCTCAAAGGTATAAATAGGTCATTCATTTGTAGGAAAATGTGCTTTGGCACCTTCCTTGACTTGTATCATCCAAATGAGAAACTGGTGGGAAACGTACACTTTGTTAGTGAAGCATAAGGTTACAGACAGACAGACTAAATCACCTGCCTGTCCAGACGTGCTTCAAGTTCCTACTGAACCCTTAAATAAAACATAAATGAAACATAAAAGTTGCACCCCCAAATCTAGAATCTGTATAGTAAAGCACTCAACATCCAAATGAAGCCTAATTCACCCCTCATTCAAAACATCTATGTCAGTGTGATCATTGTATGTTGAAAAGGAAGTCTCCAGGGGTAGAGTGAAGGCACTGTGTGTGTAAGGTTGTTGTTAAAAGAAACCTTTATGATCACCTGACCTAACCATTTCATGTTGAAGATGAAGACAGTAAGTGCCAGGGTATGAGATGACTCCCTTCCTGAAGAAGAAGCCTAGAGTGTTTCCCTGCATACTTTTTGATAACCCTAGGACAATATGGTTGTCTGTCAGTCACCAGCAGGACCATTCTTTGAAGTTATCTGCATTGGAAAATGAATCTTAAATGCCCTTAGAATGGAAAATTAGCTGCAAAAGGTAGTTAATTTCTTTAAGTCTTAGAGGCAACTTTTTAAAATGCACCAAAATTGAGCCAGGTGCAGTGGCTCACACCTGTAATTCTAGCGTTCTGGGAGGCCAAGGCAGGTGAACGGCCTGAGAGGAGTTTGAGCCTGTCCTGAGCAAGAGTGAGACCGGGACTCTAAAATTAGCTGCTGGGTGTTGTGGCAGGAGCCTGTAGACCCAACTACTTTGGAAGCTGAGGCAAGAGGATCACTTAAGCCCAAGAGTTTGAGATTGCTGTGAGCTGTGACACCAGGGTACTCTACCGAGGTGACAAAGACTCTGTCTCAAAATAATAACAATAATAATAATAACTAATAAATAAATAAAATGCACCAAAACTGAGTATGTGCTCGCTTTAACACACCAATGCTGTCTTTTCTGTCTTGATTATTATTGTCAAGCATTTTCCAAATTTATCCTACTGAGGACTCTTGTGCTTAGTGACTGTGAAAAACACTTGCTGTTACATTAATACTGTATATTCCTCCTTTAAAAAAAAAATCTCATTAAGGAATAGTCACTTGGGTCAGCCACTTTGTTTTCTTACTACCTTTGTGAAAATTTTGTTTTTGAGAAATTAAACTGTCAAGATGGTAGCGATGCAAAAGCAATGCTGTGAGATCTTTATATAAATATATATGTTTATAAAGTATATATAT